ACTCTGTATTTTCAACCTAGAATGAGAGGAGTGACCAAAATTCCCTTGCCCTAGAAGGCTCATTTTGATTTTAACCACATGAACAAAATATGTAGTATTGTTTCATTTACAAAGAAAAATACTACTCTAGAATTTCTAGTCTAATCAACCATGAAATATATGAAACAGTGTATTAAGTAGTTAACTGTAGTGTAATACTGACTTTTTGATCAAAATATAAAGTTAGATGTTAAATATACTTGTATTGCTAGTATTTTTTTCTATTTTTTTTTTATAGGAAAATATATTCAAGTGTCATCCAATGCAATATAAGCTGACCATGAATTCTAGAAAAATTATTTCTTACCAAAAAAATGTATAGAACTTTGATTTTAGTGTTAAAATTCTGTTTTTAATATACAACTCCCTCTCAAAAGGCCAGCAATACTGAATAGAAGAACAAGTTCATGGAGACCATGGAAGATTGCCCTTATTATTGCAGCTGTTGTGTTTGTTCTGGCAATAATTATTGGTCTACTTGTTTATTTTTTGGCATATGGTAAGCATCTATTTCATTGTACTTTTTTAAAATTTTGAAGACATATTCAATTTATTTCAAAACTGTGTTATTTTCTAACATCCCCAAATGCAATTTTTATTTGAATACATGTTTGTACATTTGGGAATTGATAATTTTTTTATACAAAAAATGTTCCTGACATTAAAATTTTGGCTTGGTTCACTACAAAATTTTCTCTTGAGCAATATGAATCAATAGATTCATAGCATATGTTATTTTGTGGTAAAATAATATTTAGTAAGTGGAATAAAAAATATTTTAGTAGTTACTCTATCTTTGATGTCAATGTATGAGAACATGTCACATTCTGTCATTATTTAATTAGCAGCTTAAATAATCAGTAATTACTAAGAAGTGGTCATTGTGCCAGGACAATAATATTATGTTACCTATATGATGACAGTGACTATGAGAATGCATGATCTTAAGAAAAGGTTAGAGGGAGGTATTGGCCAGCAGCCACTGAATGTTTGATTTCCAGAAGTTAACCTATTCTATAACATTTTTTGTGTGTTTCGTCTCCTCTACTTCTCATACAACCTAAATTAACTAAAGAGAAACCATCTCCTTTTGTTCTCCTTTCCAGATCAGAAGTCTCATTACTACCAGGCTTCCTTCCAGATCCCCAGTATTGAATACAATCCTGATTTTTCAGTAGAACACTCAAAAAGTGGGACTAACCTAAAACAAAAAATCAATAGTGAGGTAAGTCTGAGCTTTGCTGGCATCACTGCTAACCTGACAATACTATTTTGAAGAAGGATGTTAGAGTAAGAAGAAAGTTAAGAACATATCTACTTGTATATACATTAACATTGTCAGATACAATACAATAATGCCTAGTTAAATTTGAATTTTACATTATATTGAAAATACACCTCATGGAATATTGAAACAGGCTTATACTAAAACCAATGCTTTCTATTGATCTGAAATTAAAATTCAATTGTGCATCCTATATTTTTATTTGTTAAATCTAGCCATTCCAATCTACATTATTGAAAAAGTACATTAGACAAGGATAACTACACCAAAAACTGAGCAACATAAGTTCAACAGAAAAATAAATGAGTTATCTGGAAGTATAATTCAATCATTTGAGCACCAACAATATCACCATACATCATTCACACAAACTATGTGTGTGATACTGATACATTGTCCATTACATAATTTATACAGATTATTTATTCCAGAAAATATACCACATAAACACACATATAGGCTCTTTCATTGAAGATTTTAGTTCTGTACACAGCCTCAATTGAGCCTAGCATTTATGAGCCAAAGATGGCAGATCATTCTTGCTAGGATGAGAAATATTTCTTCAGCAAAAACATCAGGTGATAAAATGAATTGAAGGATTCAACTGAGCAGTATTGGCATGTCTTTTTCAGATGGTTGAATAACATGATGAACATAACATCACTGAACTGTACATGTGGAGATGGTAGAAATGACAAATATTGTATTACCTATATAAATCCACCAGCCACTCCTCAGAAGGAAGGTTGGGCAATCTACTTCTGTAGTGACACTGCCTTGGCAACCCAAGGAGGGGTCGCTATGAGTCGGGTCCGACCCCACAGCACATAACAACAAAAACAACATATAGTTACCAGCATTAAAACAAAAAGGAGCTCTGGTAGCATAGTGCCTAAGGCACTTGACTGCTAATCAGGAGGCTGGCGGTTCAAATCCACCAGCCACTCCTCGGAAGGAAGGTTGGGCAATCCTACTTCCGTAGTGATAACTGCCTCGAAAACCCAAGGAGGGGTCGCTATGAGTCGGGGCCGACTCGACGGCAAATAACAACAACAACAACAACATTAAAACAAAATGCTAAAGAAATTTTCATTAGGAAAAAAAAACATTAAACAGGGCAGAGTATAAAATATCTTGTTACTAGAGACAATATCTGAAATTAGAGAGCATCCACATTTTGATGTTAGAAACACTTTGATTTTTTATCCCAATTCTATCTTTTGTCAGCTTAACAACATTGAAAAAGCTACTTGTAAAGTGGTGGTGGTGGTAGCAGCAGTAGCATCATCTGAACCTGTTTCAGAGAGGATAATGACCAAGATCAGCCCAAAGCTGATCTTTAGGAGGTAGAGGTCAGACATACCTCCACTCTCTGACCTTTGACACAAGACATCCCTGCCATGGCACTCTCTACTTCTCTTCTGGGTTCAATAACCCATTTCAGTGGTCACACAGAACTCACAGACCTTATTTACAGTTAAGGGTTTATTAAGAAATAATAGTATGTACAACTCAGGATCAGGATCAGGATTGAGATTAGGAAACACGAAGGCAAAGTTTCCCTTCTTCAGCACAGGACAGCTCTCTGTTTTTCTTGGTTGTACAGGCCTCCTCTTGGTCCCCTGAGGATAGGTTTCATTCAGCTCCCTCAGGACAATCCCCTCTTGGCCCTCCATCTGTCACCACCTACAGGGCCTCTTGTGAGCTTCTCACCACTGACTCTGTTGCTGGTCTTCTTCTGGACCTCTTGCTGTCTTCAGTGTTATACCCCATGACTTTTAGTAGTCACTGCTAGTGCTGCAGCTCTTTTAGGAGTTTCCTTGCCTCTTCTTACTCTGCTTCTCTCTTCTTTCTTCCTTCTGTTTCTGTTGCTTTTCTTCCTATTTCTTTCTGTCTCAAGAAATCTCTGTATTTATACACACACATACACACACATGCTTCTTAAAGAATTAGGCAGTGAAAACCTTATGAATAGTAATGAAACACTATCTGATATATTAGTGGAAAACTGTATGAATAGCCCTGAAACATTATGTGATATAGTGCCAGAAGATGAGCCCCTCAGGTCAGAAGGCACTTACAATATGACTGAAGAAGAGGTGCACCCTCAGAGTTGACTGAAACAGACCATCAACTGCTCATATGAAAGTGCAAGTTGAAGCTGAAGACAACTAAAAGAAGTCCATGAGAGCCTTGATTATATCCCTCCTGAATTTAGAGACCATCAAAAGAATACATTTGATGCATTTAACACCAATGACTGAAAACCAGATAAATTATGGGATGACATCAAGAACATCATCCATGAAGAAAGCAAAAGGTCATTAATAAGACAGGAAAGGAAAAGCAGACCAAAATGGATGTCAGAACAGACTCTGAAACTTGCCCTTGAATGGAGAATAGCAGTAAAGCAGATGGAAGAATTGACAGGATAAAAGAGCTAAACAGAAGATTTCAAAGAGGAGCTCAAGAAGATAAAGTCAATTATTATATTGAAATGTGCAAAGACCTGGAGTTAGGAAAAAAAAAAAAGAAAGAACACTCTCAGCATTTTTCAAGCTGAAAGAACTAAGGAAAAAAGAAATTAAGCCTCGAATTGCAACATTGAAAGATTTCATGGGCAATATGTTGAACAATGCAGGAAAAATCCAAAGAAGATGCAGGGAATACACAGAGTCACTCTACCAAAAAGAATTGGCAGATGATCATCCATTTCAAGAAGTGACATGTGATCAAGAACGAATGATATTGAAAGAAGAGGTCAAAGTTGCACTAAAGGAATTGGCTAAAAACAAAGCTCCAGGAATTAATGGAATACCCACTGAGATGTTTCAACAAACAGATGCTGCACTGGAGGCACTCACTTGGGTATGCCAAGAGATTTGGAAAACAGTTATCTGGACAACTGACTTGAAGAGATCCATATTTGTGCCCATTCCAAAGGAAGGTGATACCACAGAATGTGAATTATCAAATTATATTATAAATATCACACACAAGTAAAATCTTACTGAAGATAATTCAAAAATGGTTGCAGCAGTGTATTGACAGAGAACTTCCAGAAATGCAAGCTGAATTCAGAAGGGGATGCGGAGCAAGAGATATCATACCTGATGTCAGATGAATCTTGGCTGAAAGAAAAAAATACCTGAAAGATGTTTACTTGTGGTTTATTGACTATCCAAAGGCATTCAATTGTGTGGATCATAACAAATTATGGATGACTTTGAGAAGAATGGGAATCCCAGAACACTTAATTGTACTCATGAGGAACCCGTACATGGATCAGGAGGGTGTAGTTCAAACAGAACAAGGGATACTGCATGGTTTAAGATCAGGAAGGGCATGTGTCAGGGTTCTATCTTTTCACCATACTTATTCAATCTGTGCACTGAGCAAATAGCCTGAGAGGATGGACTATATGAAGAAGAACGTGGCATCAGGATTGAAGGAAGGCTCATTAACAACCTGACATACACAGATGACACAACTCTGCTTGCTGAAAGTGGGGATGACTTGGAGCACTTAGTGATGAAGATTAAATATAACAGTCTGCAGTATGGATTACATCTCAATATAAAGAAAACATATATCTTCACAACTGGACCAGTAAGCAGCATCATGATGAATGAAAAAAAGACTGAAGTTGTCAAAGACTTCATATTACTTGGTTCTACAATCAATGCCAATGGAAGTAGCAGTCAAGACATCAAAAGAAGTATTGGATTAGGCAAATCTGTTGCAAAATACCTCTTTCAAGTGCTGAAGAGCAAAGATATCTCCTTGAAGACTAAGATGTGCCTAACCCAAGCCATGGTATTTTCAATCACTTCATATGTATGTGAGAGCTAGACAATGAATTAGGAAGATCAAAGAAGAGTTGATGCTTTTGAGCTGTGGTGTTGGCAAAGAATGCTGAAAGTACCGTGGACTGCTAAAAGAAGTAGCAAATCTGTTCTGGAAGAAGGACAGCCAGCATGCTACTTGGAAGCAAGAATGGCCAGACTTCTCACCTACTTTGGTCATGTTGTCAGAAGAGACCATTCTCTGGAAAAGGATTTCATACTTGGTAAAATAAAGTGTCAACAAAAGAGGGGAAGGCCATCAACAAGATGCATTGACACAGTGGCAGCAATGGTCTCAGGTGTAATAGAGATTGTGAGGACAAAAGACCAGGCAGTGTTTTGTTCTGTTGAAATAAGTTCGTTACGAGTCAGAGACGACTCAGCAGCACATAACAACAACATACAGATATATACACATACACACACACACACAAACACACATGTATAAAACTCCTTGTCAATTACAAGATATAGTCCCTCCCAATAGGGGCCACAAACTGATCAATCTCCTCTCAGAAGTCCATACACAGTTCATTTGTACAGTAAGCTATAACTCACCTCATTTGCAGTTTATTGACAAATCCTGCAAGGTGCATACCAAACATCAGGTAGGGGAGCCCAGGACCAGACAAAATGTATCAAATCAGGTTGTTATAGCTCCTCAGTATTTTGATTCTCTAGTGCTGCTCTAACAGACATAACCACAAATGGGTGGCTTTAACAAACAGGGATTTATCTCCTATGGTTTATAGGTTAAAAGTGTAAGTTCAAAGTGGCAGGTTGTAGGGGCTGGGTAAAAGCCCTTCAGCCTTGCACTTCAGTTTTGCCTCCTCCTCCTGTACCACTGAAGCTGGAGGGTTTTTAATTCTTTTTTCTTTAATTCATTTATTGTGATTTGGGTGAAGACTTACAGAGCAAATTCACTTTCCATACGGCAGTTCACATATACTTTGTCTCATGTCATTGACCACAGTTTACCACAATGCAACAGCTCCTTTCCCACTTCTTCCCCATAGTTACCTCTTCCCAGTGTCCATCCCTCCATACTCTCCTGCACCCTGAGCTGTCTCCCTGTGCATAAGCAGCCCTTCCTTCTCCCATGATTGTTCTCTCCAGGGTGTGTGTCTACTTGAGGTAAATGTTTAACTCACATGCCTGTACATTGTTTGGCTGGAAAACACAGGTGTAGGTTCAATTCCAGACCTGAAGGGCAGCTAGGGGCCATAGTCTCAGTGGTTCCACCAGGCTCTATTGGACCAGCAAACCTGGTCCCCACCTTCTTTTTTTTTTTTTTTTCCTGGAGGTTTCTTTTAAATCAGACAGCTGCTGCCTGCTGAGGCTGACAAACCTAAGGTTGACAAATAAAATGACACAGTACCAAAATTATCAAACAACATGGGAGGTCATTGGTTCACATCCAGGAACAATCCTAAAATAGTCAGACATTGAGATGTAGATTCGGCTCCATGCAGGGTCCAAGCGTACCAAAAAGCTCAGAGACCTTTCTCAAAGCTGTCGTCTTATGTACTGGAAGTAGACCACATTTCTAAGGTAGCTACTCAGCTGCTCCAGTAGATTCCACGATGGAGTTGATTATCAGTCTCATAGGGAATAACTACATCCACTTGCCCAGCCAGTCAAAAACAGGCCCAGTCAAGTTGACACATAACCTTAACTACCACACCCAGGAAATGCCAATCAACTTGGCTTTTTCCAGGGTCTTTTGACCCTCTGGTGTAGAAAACTAAAGCAAAGGTAACTTCGCAGGTGTTAGAGAAGCAAACTTCTCAAACTCTTTTTCCAAAGAACTAAGGCAAAAAAGACACATTTTACCATATTACTTAAACACTCAACTACAATATAGGAATAATTTTTTCCACCTCTCAGAGTTATTCTGAGAATTAACTAATGTAGTAAATATAGAGTGTGAAAAGCATATGTCCAAATAAACATTAACATCAGATCCCTGTGCTCCCACAGAACTTTCCATACACCTCTTAGAACATTTATTACCTGTTACATCATTATTTTTTTATAAGTCCATATACCCCTCTTGCTTCGTGATTTCATTTATGCTTAGGAATGTGCTTTCTTAAATATCTGGTGCTTCATTCAGTGCCTGCACATGGCAGGACAATAAAAATATTAATCAAAGAGATGACTAGTAAATAAATCACCATGTTAATGGTATTGATCCTATGCCTTAGAGTACAAGTGTTGTTGTTGTTGTTATGTGTCATCGAGTCGGCCCCGACTCATAGCGACCACTTCTTGGGTTTCCGAGGCAGTATCACTACGAAAGTAGATTGCCCCATCTTCCTTCCAAGAGAGTATAAGTGGAGGCCATAAAAAGGAAAGAAATAAAGTAACTCAAACCAGCAAATATTTTCTATAAAGGGCCAGCTTTATAGATATATAAATATAAATATTTCTATTTATATAAAAAATATATAAATATATATAAATATAGTATATATAGAATTAAAATAAATATAAATATTTCCCGCTTTGTGGGGCATACATTTAATGTGCAAATACTCATGTCTGTCACCATAACATGAAACAAATCATAGACATAATATAAATAAACAAGTCTCACTGTATTCCAATAAAATCTTACTTATGGTCACTGAAATTTGAATTTCATATAATTTTTATGTGCCAACAAATGTTAGTCTTTTTTTTTTTCAACCATTTAAAATTTAAAGCTCCTTCTTAGATCACGAGTCATACAAAAACAGTTGTTCTTGTTGTTGTTAGTGCTGTCGAGTTGGCCTCAACCCACAGTGACCCCTCCTTGGGTTTCCCAGGTAGTACCAGTACAGAAGTAGATTGTCCAACCTTCCTTCTGAGGAGTGGCTGGTGGGTTTGAACCAGCCACTGGTTAGCTCTCAAGTGCCTTAGGCACTATGCTAGACCAGATTTGGCCTACAGGCCATAGTTTGCTGACCTCTCATTTAGCCTATGGGCTAGAGTTATAGTAAAAGTTTTCCTAGAACAAACAATTAAAACCAATTCCTAAAATGGAGTTTAGAGGTTATCTGTGGACTACCTTTATTCACTATTTATGCATTAAATCACCATGGATTGTTCACAAAGCCATGGTTTAAAAGGATATAGCAATAAATAAGGGAAAAAGGAAATGGAAGAAGAAGGCAGAGTCTAGATTAAGGGAATTAGAAAGGAAATGGAAGAATGCAGATTCTAAATTCTAGAAGTACATGGACCAAAAATGGTAATAGTAGTTTTCTCTAGACAGTGATTTTGGAATGATTTTAATCCTTTTAATTATACTTTTCAGTGTTAGTTGTTGTAAAAAGATTTTTACAATGAGTATGTCCTAATTTTTCTGAAGGAAGGTTGGGCAATCTACTTCTGTAGCGATACCACCTCAGAAACCCAAGAAGGGGCTGCTATGAATGGGATCTGACTCCATGGCAGTGCATTTGGTTTTGGTTTATATACTAATTTTATCTTATACATCTATCATATAACTTTCATATACATTTTGTGAAAAAATAATTTGTCCTTAACAGTTATTTAGAAGGTAAAACATGGCCATTTTGAAAAATAACTATTTCTCAGTGAAATTTCTTACCAATCTATGTAATATGTTATCGCAGGGTATTTCACTAAAAGAAATTTCATAACTTGAATTGATGAAGTAAATAGCAGTTGTTCAACATATACTAGTTTCTATGTTAGGCAGCTCATCTCTTCTGACTTGTGGAACTAATTTGATAGTCACGTTCACATAAGGTTTGGCATAGGATCATTCTTTTTCCTGACAAGCCAGTTTGACAAGTCAATGATGGTAAGCAGACTTTAAAGAACATGGATTCTGCAACAAACTGTGGTTTTAGTAAGAAATAATTTGTTGCAGGAAATTATCCCATCTAGGAAATTAAAAATAATGAACAAGTGGCATTTAAAGTCTTATCCTATTCTAAGTAATCATTTCATATAGTTTTTGCAATAAATATATATTATAAGCATTTTAAGGAAGTACTAAAAAAGCATATATTCTCTTCCCCTCCCTCATTTACCATGGTATCAAAATTTGGCCCAAATTTTTCATTGAAGCCTAAAAAAGTGATTATACAATCACATCCGTGAGGATGGTAAGTTGAGCTTGAATAACAGAGATGATAAATGGCTGATAGCTCTATACATACTGAGCTTTCAAAAATAATTTCTGAGTCCCAATCCTATTCTGTGTACTTTTATTATGGCTATTTAACTCTCTGGCTTAAGGAAACCTTATAACAATCATTTTTGACCATGTGAAAAGTTGTTCAAATATCAACATCCAATTATAGGAATGATCTTTATGAAAATAAGATTATGCCCAAATGAGTTTATGAGGATAACTGCAACAAAGTAAATGCTATTCAAATCTCAGTAGGTTTCATACAAGAATAACATACTGAACAGTAAAATTCACATTTAGTAATTTCTATTCTTTTTTTTTTGTTTTCTCAGATAAATAAGATATTTCAAAGATCCAGTTTGAACCATCACTATATCAAATCTCATGTTGTCAACCTTAGGTAATCACAACCAATTAATTTCTATGATAAAATGGCAAATTTACGCTAGTTATTCATCAATTATTCATCTTTTGGACAAGTTCTAAAAATCTTAGATATGCTAAGAGCAAATATAGTTTAACATTATTACATTTAATTGCTTTTACATCTATGTTGATGTTGTTGTTATGTGCCATCAAGTCAGACCCGACTCATAGAGACCCATCCTTGGGTTTCCGAGGCAGTATCACTACGGAAGTAGATTGCCCCATCTTCTTTCTGAGGAGTGGCTGGTGGGTTTGAACCACCAGCCTTCTGGTTAGCAGTCAAGTGCCTTAGCCACTGTGCTACCAGAGCTCCCATCTATACATCTATACAAAGTACTTATAGTGAGAGTTTCTTGGGTAAAGATGAAAAATATATTACTCATTCTTTTGATGAGTTTTGCATTTCAGTCAAAGATTCTTATAATCATTAAGTGATTCTCTCAATTTTACTTGTTTCTTCCTTGCAAATATAAGCTTTCATAGATTTTAAAAGTATAAGAATATATATTCAAACACACACAGATAGATGTAAAAAGTTGGTAAATTTAACAAGTATTTTTGATTACTTTTTCAGAAAACAAATATGATAGAACTCTCAGATAGTCTCTCCTTCCTGAATGTGAACAAATTTTACAAGCAGGATAATTCAGATATACATCTGATTAATATATGAAGAAGGAGTCCTGGTGGCACAGTGGTAAAGCACTTGGCTGCTGAACGAAATGGTGGCAGTTTGAACCCACCAGCATACTCTTTGGGAGGAAGATACACTTGTCTGCTTTCTTAAAAATTACAGCCTTGGAAACCCTAGATGTCAGTTCTATTTTGTCCTACAGGATTGCTATGAGTTTGTATTGATGTGATGGCATGAGTTTTGTTTTAATATATAAAGGGAAAAAAAAACTATGACAATAAAATATATGGAACTTTTTTTTTTTACTGTTTCTTCAAGATATGACTAACATTTAAGCAATATGGTATAATATAATATGATCTCACACATTTATTCTGGTGTTTTGTTTTTCAGGTCAAGTAACGATGGTTTGAAAACTGACGTATTGCTAAAATTTCAGTTTACTTCTAACAATGCAGGCACAATAAAGAGGCAAGCTTATGACATTTTATATCAGAAGTTGAAATCAGATGAAAGCTTCTTGAAAATAGATACTTCATTACCTTATCTTAGAGGCAAGAAATACTATTTTTCTTCCCTTGTTACATTTTATCCTTTTAACAATCTATGAAAAAACTTCTTTATTTGACCACAAAATGAAGGCACTTTTCAGTGTTAAATCTATCATCTACTTGATAATGAATAATGCCCACATGATCAACTCCCAAAATTACATCTCTTTGGTTCCCCCAAACAAAAAACTCACTGCCATTGAGCCAGATCCGACTCACAGCAACCCGTCCTTGGGTTTCTGAGGCAGTATCACTACAGAAGTAGATTGCCCAATCTTCTTTCCAAGGAGTGGCTGGTAGGTTTGAACCATCAGCCTTTTGGTTAGCAGTCAAGTGCCTTAGGCACTACTCCACTAGAGCTCCCTCTGGTTAGTATGGAAAAATTATAAGAGTTGTACAATAACTCAAATATAATAGTATTTCTTCCTTCTTTTAAAAGACTTTAGTGGAATTGTTTGAATTAGCAGATATGTGATAAAAAGCTATACTCTGCTATGAATATAATGATCTATAGTGCTTGGATCTCCATCGTGCAATGTTGTTGTCAGTTGCTATAGAGTGAGCTACAACTTATGACAAACTTACATATAACAGAACTAAACATAGCCCAGTCCTGTCCATATTCACAATCATTGGTACATGCATGTTCATTTTTGTAGCTATTATGTCAGTCCATCTCACTGATGGTTTCCCTTACTTTTTTTGCTGACTCTCTGATTTACAAACATGATGCCCTTTACTAGCAATTGGTTCCAATCTGAACCCAGAATGTAAGAATAAATATTGACATAAGAATAACAATTTATGGGTCACAAATATGATTTGAGTAAAAGTGAAAGAGGACTTGGCATTTTAGTTTACATTACTGTAACCCTTCTTATATTATGTAAGATAAGATTTGCCAAGGGTATGTAGGAGACAGAAGAAAAAGGAAGATACAAGACTCTGATAGAACTTGCCTCAGGTATAGAGAGCACTGTCAGTTCCTGCACCATGCTTAAAATCATTCCTACGCTTTAGCCTACTGTTACAGTTGCTGTGTCAATCCGTCTCATTAAAGGTCTTCCTCTTTTTCTCTGACCCTCTACTTTCCCAAGCCAGATATTCTTTTCCAAGGACTGGTCACTTGTGAAAACACGACCAAAGTACAAAAGGTGAAGTCTTGCCATTCTTGCTTCTAAGGAGCATTCTGGTTGTACTTTATCCAAGACAGATTTGTCTGTTCTTCTGGCAGCCATGGTATATTCAACATTCTTTGCCAACACCATAATTCAAACCCATCATATCTTTTTCAGTCTTCCTTACTCACTATACAGATTTCATGTGTATTTTAGGCTATTGAAAACACCATGTCTTGGGTCAAGCACAACTTAGTTTTCAAACTTATGCCTTTCCTCATCTACCCTTTAAAGAGGTCTTTTGAAACAGATTTGCCCAAGACAATACGTTATTTGTTTTCTTGACTGCTGCTTCCATGGGTGTTGATTGTGGATCCAAGTAAAATGAAATCCTTAACAACTTCAATCTTTCTTCCATTGTCATGATATTGTTTATATGTGTACTTCTGAGAGTTGTTTTTCTTTATGTTGAGGTGTAATCTATACTGCAGGCAGTAGTCTTTGATATTCATTAGTAAGTGCTTCATGTCCTCTTCACCTTCAGCAGGCAAGAGTGTGTCATCAGCATATTGAAAATTATTAATGAGTCTTCCTCTAATCATGAAATCATTCTTCTTCATATAATCCAGTTTGTTCGAACATCTGTTCAGCATACAGATTGAATAAGTATGGTTGAAAAATGCAACCTTGATGCACACCTTTCCTGATTTTCAGTCATGTCATATCCCCTTGTTCTATCTTGAGCAAATGCCTCTTGGTTTATTTACATTTTCCTCAAGGGCACAACCACCACTTGTCTGTCAGTTTGTCACACTGTGGTGGTTTATGTGTTGCTGTGAGGCTGGAGGCTATGTTACCAATATTCCAAATACCAGCAGGGTCACCAGTGATGGAAAGATTTGAGCAGAGCTTTCAGACAAAGATTTAGAAGACTTAGAAGAAGGAAGAAACCATCCACTTCTCAAAGTATTGGCCAGTGAAAACTTTATGAATACCTGTGAAACACTGTCTCATATATTACTGCAAAATGTTATGAATAGCCCTGAAACATTGTCTGTTATTGCGCCAGAAATGAGCCCCTGAGGTCAGATAGTATGCGAAGTATGTCTGGGGAAGAATTGCCTCTTCAAAGTAGAGTCAACCTTAATTATGTGGGTGGAGTAAAGCTTTCAGAACCTCCACTTGTTGATGTGGCACAAATCAAAATGGGAAGAAAAAGCTGCAAACATCCATTAATAATTAGAACATGGAATGTATACAGTATGAATCTAGGAAAATTGGAAGTTGTCAAAAATGAAGTGGAACACATAAAGATTAATATCCTAGGCATTGTTGTTGTTGTTGTTATGTGCCGTCGAGTCGGACCCAACTCATAGTGACCCCTCCTTGGGTTTCTGAGGCAGTATCACTATGGAAGTAGATCGCTCATCTTCCTTCCGAGGAGTGGCTGGTGGGTTTGAATCGCCAGCCTTCAGTGTCTTCAGTGTTAGCAGTCAAGTGTCTTAGCCACTATGCTACCAGAGCTCCTATCCTAGACATTAGTGAGCTGAAATGGATTGGTTTTTGCCATTTTGAATCAGACAACCATATGATCTACTATGCCAGGAATAACAGTTTGAAGAGGAATGGTGTGACATTCATCATTGCAAAGGATGTTTCAAGATCTGTCCTGAGGTACAGTGCTGTCAGTGATAGGATAATATGCATATGCCTACAAGGGACACCACTTAATACAACTATTATACAAATTTAGCACCAACCACCAAAGCCAAGGATGATGAAATTGAGGATTTTTATCAACTTCTGCAGTCTGTAATTGACTGAACATGCTATCAAGATGTGTTAATAATCACTGGTGACTGGAATGCAAAAGTTGGAAACAAAAAAGAATCACTGGTAGTTGGAAAATTTGGCCTTGATGATAGAAATAATGCTACATATCACATGATAGAATTTTGCCAGACCAACAACTTATTCATTGCAAATACCTTTTTTCAACAACACAAATGGTAGCTATGCACACAGACTTCACCAGATGGAATACACAGGAATCAGACTGACTATATCTTTGGCAAGAGGAGCTAGAAAAGCTCAATATCTTCACCAATACCAGGCCAGGAGCTGATTGTGGAACAGACCACCAACTGTTCAAGTTCAACTTGAAGACAATTAAAACAAGTCCACAAGAGCCAAAATCTTACCTTGAATATATCCTCCTTGAATTTAGAGACCTATCTAAAGAATAGATTTGATGCATTGAACACCAATGACTGAAAAATGGAAGAATTATGAGATGTTATCAAGAACATCATCCATGAAGAAAGGAAAAGGTCATTAAAAAAGATAAGAAAGGAAGAAAAGACCAAAATAGATGTCAGAAGAAACTCTGAAATGTGCCTTTGAGTGAAGAGTAGCTAAAACAAATGGAATAAATGACAAAAAAAAAAA